CGCGATAAGTCGAACCCAGAAGTTCGATCGCTCGCCGCCGAACTACCGGGTAAGTGTAGCCAAGGCCTTAGTCTCTAAGGTGCCACCCGGACTCCTCATTGTTTTTGCAGATACAGACTAACACGGCTACCACTCTGAAACCTGAAGAATATTCAGGGTTATAATAGCAAGGATGAAAAACAACAGAGTTTTGGAAGGAATGTGATTCTGGGTATAAGCCAACGTCTAATAATGGAGGTTAGAAAGAAACTTTCCCAGGGAGCAGGTAATTCCATATATATCTACTACAGAGTTTCTTGCATCTTCCTCTGAAGCACTAGCTATTGTTAGACACAGGACAGTGGACTATATGGACTGTTGATCTGATCCAATATGAAAATTCCCATTTCTGTATGAATTTAACAGAATCTCAGCTGATACTTCTGCCTCTAACTCTACCTCAAATAAGTTTAAAGGTGGTCAGCTTTGTTTAATAGGGCTGTAGTTACTGTCCCTGTTTTACTGTTTGTGTTTATGGGAGTGTGGCTGTCTGTCTGTCTTTCTTCCTTTGGCTTAATAAACATACAAAAGCAGAATGATTTTAGAGACATGTTGTACCAAGCCATAGAGAGGATCAACAGAAGACACTGCAATCTGAAGATGTGGCACATTGGAACAATGAATGGGGATTGGAATTCTCCATGTAAAGCCCAGCAGAGATTACTGAACTTCTGAAAACAAGAAGCCCTTATCCATTAGTGAAAAAGGTAGTTCTCATTATTTTTGTTTCTATTCTGGTGATATGTCCTCAGAGTCAACTTAATGAGAAAACGTTGGTGATGGAAATAAACTATAATAATACAAATATAACAGCAAGTGGGGAGGGATGGAGGTAAAGATGGTTTTAAAATAAGGAATGTCTCTTATAAGTGCTGCTAAAATGGTGTGGTGACGAGAGGCCAGATAGAGAGACTAACAATGTCAGCTACTAGTCATGTGTAATCATTCATGTTCTACAACCGCATGTTGCCAGCCTCTAACTTTGTTTTTATTATCTACTGCTACTACAGCTTTTTGAACAATTATAAAAGTCTTGTAAGATAAAACAATGAAGATTAGATTCCACCTCACCCTGAGTGGATGTGCCAGTGGAGGGGAAAGGACATAAAGGGGAAAGGACAAAATCCTGTGTACAGGAGCCAAGCATAGTCTCACTGCTGGCAGCCCTGGCCTCCTGAATCCTCTCTCACCCTATGCACTGGCCAGCAAAATTCCTCCTGGGACCCCTGTTACTGTCAAACCCCTTCTTCCTCATTCCCTTTCTCTTCTCCTTCCTCAGTGCAGGCTGTGGCGTTAAAGCCACAGTCTGGGCCTATATACAGTCAAGACTCTTTGGCACAGTTACAGACTAGATAAAGGCATCATACTCATACTTATCATCCTAGGGTGGCAGGATTTGGGGGGCGGCATTTTGCCGCCCTCAGTGGAAATTCAGCTGCGGGGGGTCCTTCCACTCCAGGTTTTTGGCAGAAATTCGGCGGCGGGTCCTTCACTCGCTCCGGGACCCGCCGCCAAAGTGCCCCAAAGATGTGGAGCGGAAGGACCCCCACCGCCGAATGCTCAGAGAAGAAGCACTGCTGCCTAGGGCAGCAAAAACCCTGGCACCGCTCCTGATCATACTTGTCAAAGGCTCATTGTTCAAACTTCAGTGGAGGTTGATGACATTTGTGGTGGGAGGGAGGCAGATAGTGGGGAAAGGATATTGCTTGGAAAAGGGTGTTCCACTCCCAGAGCAGGATGCTGTTTCAAACTGGTGAAGTTTATGAAGATTTCTGCCTGAGTCCAGCAAACACACACAGCTGGCACAAGCCCCACTACTGGACAATCTCCCAGGAGCTCCCACCACAGCCACTGTGATTACACCTTGCTGTGTCCTGGCTCTGACCTCTTCAGCAGAGTTCCAAGTCTTAAAGAGACAGGGCTCTGGAAAACACAACTTGCATTCCACCAAAAAAAGGCTACATTTATACTAACATCCACATTATAACTACTGAGTCCACAAAGAGAGGGGTCTTACTTATTATTGTCATTAGTGCTGTTTGCTCTCTAGGATGGATCTTCTTTATTCAGTCACTTTCCATTATCTGTTCTTCTAGCTAGACAGTGTCTGTAACTGAACATGTAAATCAGCTGGAAATAATCAGAGTAGACCCCCACCTCCCTTGCCTAATTTAACTGGGCATCTCCCTCTCTCTCAAAATCCAAACCCTTTCTTATTTTTAACTTCCTTACATGCTAAAGAGATTCCTGTTAAAGGAATAATTCACTTAACTGAATTAAAAAAGAAATCCCATGTCAGGAGTCCTTTAAGCATTGCAATTCCCAATCATTTAACCCAAGCTCTACGGTGAAGTGATAATTAGGTGTTAAAAGCTAACCAGATAACCGCAGAAGTCTCTCCAGACAGCCATTAAATATCCAAACAAGAGTTAAAGTAATAAAATATGACTTTCTCAGAAGCATTCCGACCCTAATAAATTTTAAAACAGTTTAAAAACATTTGGAATTACTGGCTTGTCTTTATAACCTCCCTCCGCTGTGACACAGCCCAGTATGCTATAAAGGCATCACCCACTTAGACAACTCAATATTCATGACAAATACATAATTCTTTTAAGCCAGTTAGATCTACTTTGGCCCCTTCTCTCCAGCAGGTATAACACACTGAAAAAAAAGCTCTCACTGATATCCACAGATAAATCAACATGAGTCCTTCATAGCAGTGGATTTTGAAATATGTTTTTCTTATTAAGTGTGTGTAAATGCTGTTATAGAGACAACAATTCATTTTAGTTGTTTTCTGAGTTGACTGTAACTCCTTCATACAGTGCCTCTATATGCTGAATTCACAGAAATCTGAGATTTGCCATTACAAGATCTTTATCATATACAATTCAAAGGTGTAGATTTCTGTACCTTTCATTCTCTTCCTTTCTGATGTCATTTTTACACTGATTCTATTTTTCTGCAAGGATTCCAAGTTTTAATTCACAAAGAAGACCCCCTGAGATATTTAAGTAGTTATATCACTTGAATCATGTCTCAGGTGATATGCCAATAATTTTGAAAGATATTTCCTTTATCATGATGCTAAGAAGTATCTGATAAATCATGATTATCACTAGTATAGAGTACTTACCTGATAAATCATTTGACCAGCATACCAGCTGATATTGTAGTAACTCTCTGATTAACTGGGTCATTTCAAAACAACATTTGAGTGTATGTATTCCACTATCTTCATAAGTACACAAACACATCTTTTAGATCCATACATACAGTGATGAAATTGGCCCACCCTCTTTTTGGTTGTTGTTGTGTTTCCCAGACATTATCTAGTTTTGTTTCAGGTAGATTCTTTACTTCAGGAAAGATGACAATACACTGCAATTCCTTATCAGATAATGTTTATTAAGCTACAGACCAATACCTAAGAAAACTAGGAACATAAGACTCAACATTTTCAACTACTGAAACATTTAGGACCAGTATTCTCCTTTCTTTCTAAAGACACTAACAATTTTGCCCAAGAGTCTCCAAATAATATTTTCTCTCAAAAGTTTGAAAAGATAGAAGTCTTTTCACAAGCTGCCTCAATAAACTGACACAAAAGCATCTTTGACTTTCAGTTGTCACCTTAGGTGTCTGGACAACTGCAATGAAGTCTCCACTGTTTTGTCTAGCCCAGTTCGGATCAATTCAGGCTCAGAATGGTTGTAAACTCGCCCTAAAAGGGTGCACAAAGGAAACATACATTTAGCATATAATTCAATATTGTCATATTCCAAATGCAATTAGAATCAAGACAAATAATAATTAGCTCGTGAGACACTTTAAAAACATACTATACACATTTATGTAGAAATTACCATAATAATATTATCACTAACACAAATATGCACATACGAAAACATCTAAAAGTAAACATAACATTTGCACATAGTAAATACCCATATGTCTCAGTAAACACAATTTAAAACTTTAATACGGCAAATGATTTCTTTAATTGATGCTGAAAGATTAAGTATGTGCCATTTTAGGACTAAATCCCAACCTCTGTTGTGTGGGTGCACTAATGAGGGAAGAGAACAAAGAGGACTACTTACCCCTATGCCCTGCAGGCCCAATACTTTGTTGAATCCAAGGAGAAAGGTGTGGCTAATGTTCATGCCAAAACTACACAGACCAAGAGGGTGTGGCCTGCTGTTTTGATGCTGCAGCAAGCCCCCTGTCCCCTGCACATAAGCTGTATTCAGCAGCTGACCGGAATATACACAGCTCTTTTTTGGAGCAACAGTAACATGTTCCCTACCATACATTTGTTCACTGCCTCATTGAACCATCCTGTCCTGTGCTGAAAGGATGACAAAGGGCCCCTCCATGAGGTGATTGACATTCCATTCCTCTCTCTCCATGGCTCTTGACAGTAAGGGCTGGATTTTGCTTTTCATTTCCTTAATTATTGTCTGCTAGGGCCCTGTACTGTTCTCCTCTCACTGGCCTCAGATAGTCACATCTGTTCCTTTGATTTCCTGTTTCTCAGACTATGCTCACAGTCACTCTTCGAGGCTATATTAGCAGACAGTAAATCAATAATAATGAAAACTTAGGTTAGTTTTCTGGAATGTGGTTTCTGCAATTTGATTTTGTTTCCTGATACTCTTCTCTCCTTCTTGCTACTGGGTTGTTTATTATGCATAATAGTTTTCTTACACTTGTCTATAGTAAACATACAGATGGGGCAGAATGTGATCCTGTCTAACTGAGTTACCCTTTTTCAACCTCACTGACTTCAGCCAGGTGCTGTGGGTTAGACTAAGAGCAGCACCAGCCCCACAATGTTTTTACAAAAGATATGTTGTGCTGGCAGTCCCTGGAGAGCAATAACTCCGTCAGTCTGATGGACTCTGTCCCTCTAGCATGGACATTTGAAAATACAAAACATAAACTAATTTTCCTCCCAATTGTTTCCTTTGGCACTGGACCAGATTAACTTCCCTTTAGCTCCTTACCAAGCAAAGGATATTCCCAAGCTTAGTGGATGTTTCAGGAGTGTAGTTGAGACCAGACTTGGTTTTCAGACCCTAGGCTGAGTTTCCATTGCTGGCCAGTATGCAAAATGAAAATATCATTTAATTGGTCAACTGGACTACTGTGGTATGGAACACCAAGATGTCATTTCTATGGAGCCGCTTTTCTGGTCATTTTTGTACAGTGAAATGTAAACTCATCATGGCATATGTTTTTACCCACTCTCTCTATCTATGGCAAATACATTACTCAATGATATTAATGTTAACATTCGAGTAAATTAAGTCAAGAGTCCTGCATACCCCAATGCAGCTTTTACATATTCTAAACCAGATCTATTGCCTGAGTTTTTCTTCAAATCCCTGAGTGCAAATAGAAATTGGGCAGCAAAGTTTATAGCTGAGACCCTGCACTCATAAGCAGCTGCAGTGAACCATAATTTTTCTTGAAAACAAGATTCACACTGCCATGACATTTTGGTTATGAATGTTAGTGTGTGAATCTGAATCCCAAAAGTTCTGAATTTTGGGAATTTCACGCTAAAGCCAAATCCCTGAATTATGCTGTCTGTCATGACCAGGACATGGGCAGATAAACTTAGTGGTCACAACAGGAATCAGGCCAAGTCAGGTACCAGGGAGTCAGAGTTTGAGACAGGTTAGTGGGCAGACCAAGAATCAGGCATCAGGAGGCAAACTGGGTCAGTTACCGGGAGATCGGGGTCAGGCATCAGATTACAGACAGCAATCAAATAGCAAAGTCAAGGACAGACCAAGGTTGGAAGCCGGAGACTAGGGTCTATCACAAGCAGGGTCTGGAGCAGAGACAGGCAGTCTGTGTTGTTGCTCAGATGGCTCTCCTTAAGTACTGGTACAGGCCCAGTAGTGGGCTGTGGGGGGCTGCCACTCAGATCCTGCTGCATGGTACTTCCTGCTAAAGAATGCTGGCTCCAGCCCGAACATCTACATAACAATTTTTAGTCCTGCTACCAGAGCTACCAGGCATTGCTGTGTTGCAGGGCTTTTATCCCTCCTGTAGGTACACAGCCTAAGCCTCCTGTGGTGATGCAGGGGTGTCAGCAACTTACAACTCCAAGGATTCAGCCCTGCAGTATCTTACACTTGAATAGTGGTCTCATAAGAGTCTGTCTGATCCTTTCAAAAATACTTCCTTGGGCTGGAAATGGCCCCATGTTGTCCTTTAATGGGAGAATAGACCAGGTGATAAAGGAAGGAGATGTATATCACTGAGGGAATGGTTAACAGTCCACAATAACACAGGCAGACAGGATGGGTAGCCACACCACTGCAACTAACTAAATTATTAACACTAAACAGTTTAGGAGCTTAGCTAAGAATAAGCAGTATATTAGACACTGAGTAGACAGAAGCAAAGTGTAGCATTCCACTATCAGTCAGATAACAAATTTTATTTTTTGCCCTGAAAAGAGTTAATTTAAAACTCAACTCAAAGCCCAGCCTTTGCCCATCATGGGGAAATATTTTGTAAAGGGCTGTAACAGACCCGCTTTTTGCATTTGCAAATTAGGAGTGCTTACGCTCCAACTACCATTGGCACACTCAATCCTGTAGCTAGAGGTTCAAGTACCTGTATTTGCACTCTAACATCAACTTGGATGAAAACCTGAGGTTACATTTACTTATGCAAATCTGCACACAAAAAAGAAGGCTGCCCCTTCCGAAAATCTGGCCCAGAAAGCAGGTTACGCACATATGTATTTTTGCAAGAGTAACTTAGGACTCAAGTTTTGAAAATTTGGCCCTTAGGGAGCAGCTAATTGCATCCACGTGGAGCTATTTTTAAGGGGTACATTTCTATATCATACCTCACACTTTAAAGTGTCTGTTTAACTCACTAAACAACAGCCTGTTAACGCTGAAGGTGATCTCTTAAAATCTGTGTTTGTTTGACTGACACTGAGTAAAATTAGAAAAAAAATTAAATGAAAGCAGCTGGTCAGCTACCAGCCACAATATTGGCCCAATTTCCTTCACAGGAAACACTGCAGTAATCTTTTATTTCTTTTTTGCCCTGCTGGCTGTCACTGGAGTGTAATATTTCTTTCATGCTGCTGATAGCTCAAGAGCACTTCTTTTGGATTCAGATTGTACTGCACGCTAGCACCAAGACACTCAGAGCATAGTCTCAATTCAACAAGCTGATCCCAGTGTCAAAGTGTGGAGAAGAAGAACAGCCTGTTAACATCTCAGCCATGCAGATATCATCTCAAGGTTTGCTCCTTTTTTCATGGAAGCCAGAGGTTTTCTTCCTCTGAACTTCTGTAAATTTCAAGCGTGTCTTCTATGACACCCATTGGTAATTAAACCAAGGTTTCATTTGAGCTGATCTATGCACACATCCACTTCAGGGTCACACATCCAGTTATAAATGACTGGTCCAGGGAATCTCTCTGTGCTGTATGAAAACTACCTTTGAACATCAGATCCACTTTTTTTATTTTTAATCTTTTTTTTTTTTCAGTTTAGGAATAATTAAAAAAAAATGTGGATGCCCAGGCTCTGAGCTCCTGTCAAGTATTTAAAATTACAAATTCAAATATACAGTTTAGTCACCTCACCCTCAGCCAAGCAGCTGAGTATTCATACAGATACTAATGATCACATCTCTACCCACTAGTATCTCAGTCTTGCCAACTCTCCTTAAAGACAGGGCCGGCTCCAGGCACCAGCTTAACAAGCAGGTGCTTGGGGCGGCCAAGGGAGAGGGGCGGCACCTGCGGCAATTCGGGGGCGGCAGGTCCCTCACTCCCTCTAGGAGCGAAGGACCTGCCGCTGAACTGCCGCCGCCAATCGCGGCTTTTTTTTTTTTTTGCTTGGGGCGGCAGAAATGGTGGAGCCGGCCCTGCTTAAAGACCAGTCAGAACAAAACATTTGCCTTAATATGTATTTAGATACTTAAATCTAGCCATTCATAGTTGAAAATTTTTCCCCAGACTTGACTACACTACATTTTTTGCACCAGCTGGACTGCGTCGACGCTAGGAGTTGGATCTGGATAGCTACATTGGTGATGTGTCTTACTCCCAAAAGACCCTACTCTGGTATACTCAGGGACAGGAATTAATGCTCCTTCAAACCAAACCAGTTTTGTATGACTCCTCTTTCACCAAGCTCCCTACAGACAAGGACAATAAGCCATTTCTCTGTGGATTGTCCCTGGCCAGTTTTGCATGTTCTCCTTCCTCCAGGGAGCATCTTTGTTTCCATACTGTCATGATATTTTAAGGGTTTGAATGCCATTTTTATATAATATCTTTTTCAATGGGCCTTTAAGCCTAGTCTACACCACAAGAGGTTTGTTGATATAGCTGTACTGGTATAGCTATATAAGAAACCCCTCCTACGGTAGATGCAGCTTATAGCGGCAAATGGGGAAGGTAGGGGTTAACTTTTGGGAAAGCTATACCAGGAAAAGCCCTTTTTTGCCATTATAGAAGTGTCATTAAAAAAAATCACACCCTAGCCAACATTGCTATACCAGCAAAAGTTTCTAGTTTAGACCTGGCTTGATATAATTATATATATGGAATAATTTCATTGGTTTAACTATTATGGTATAACTTGTTCACAGGTCTGGGATGACACCTCCCCACTACATGCATAAAAAGAGAGTAGATTCACCCACCTTCAGTAACCAACAGTGTGTGTATATGGAAGCTATATGGAGTTTAAGGGCTTGTCTACCTGGAACATTATACCACTTTAAGGTATGGTGTGAATTTAAACCAATATCATTACAACCTCCGGTGCACACTCTTATTCCAGTGTAACAGGGTCTTTCTCCAGTTTAGTTAACTTTGCTTCAGAAACAGTTTAAGCTAAAGAGGAAAAAGCCACTTTTATTCCAGAAAAAGATTGTTCACATGGGGAGTGATACCAGTATAACTATTGTGGTTTAATTCTATCTGTGTAATTATACCAATACAACTTCCCTTGTAGACAGATACAATTGGTTCATAAGGCAAGCTAAAAGTCCAACATCATATTTTCAGATATAGCTCCCTGTGACAGCTAGCATTTGCATTTCAGCCATTTGCATTTCTTCTTGCAAATTAAAAAAAAAATCAACTGAGATTTGCAAATGAGCAGCGGCAGCCAGGTGAAAGCAATGAGGGGAGACTGAGGGTCTGAAGATGAAGGTGAAAACAGAATAAGCAACCACAAAATATCAGCTTGAGCCAATGAGGCCACTTTTGCTCCTACAAAACTTGGTGCATCCAAACCTGGAAGAATCTATGTGACTCTATGTGCACAGCCCCAACAATTCTCTTTTCTAAAAAAAGCAGTTACTGGTTTACCATAGTGCAGGTTACTACATAATTCTCATATTACACACATATGCTGTGCAGTTACCATTGTAAACCTAGATATTATTCA